TGTTAAGTGTATTAAACATATAGTGGTTGTTGTGATGAATGAATCCATTGAAACCAATGACTTGTAGTGTTGTTTGCAATGAACTGAAAATACACACAAAATACATACAATTAATACAGTAATCAAAGTGGCTATAAATTTATACGTAAATATTTAAACCGTAATTAATAAACCATATTAATTAATATTAATTACATCATATGAGGCGCAAGTCAATGACTTTCATTTTGGGACATATTTTCATGACATTATCAAGCACACTTTCATCATAAACATCATTATCCCAATAAGTGATAGAAATATATTGAATATTCTTTAATTGTGATAACAAATGGAGACTTTGAGTCAGCAACTGTCCATTCATATCATTTTCACCGTCCATTTCAAACCATAAGTACTGTAAGTTTGGAAAGCAGTTCACGATATCCGCGATCACTTGGACGTCGGCCATACAGTCCAGCGTTAAATGTGTGATACGTTTCCACTGTTGACCACAAGTGAAACCAATCGGCGGTAAAACCAATTCCTCGCTATTATTAAAACAAATCTCCAAACGTGTCAAACGTTTATAGTTATGGCGAATACAGTGCATGAGTTGCTTATACTCCGAGCCCTTTATTATACAGTCATTGACATCTGTGTAGAAATTAAGGGACAGGCGTTTCAAATGTCGCAAATTGAGTCCGATTTGTGTCAAACCGGCGATTACTTTGGGAAACCAATAGTTATCGGTTTCAGCCAATTGTGGGTTAATATGTTGGTTGAGCTCCGGATTTAACTCCGCGTTAAACCCTTGGCCAGGGTGTACGACCAGGTTTGCGTGATTGTTATTGGCATCCATGTCCTGCTCATATTCCGAGTCAGTATCCGATTGAGGTTCTGGGTCAACCAGTTCACTAAACTCTATGTGCAGATCCCGTAGTGATTGCAGTCGCGATATATCTGTCATTATATCATCAAATATATATATACTGTAATTATAATTGTTGCGCAAAATATACTCATTTCTATACGAGTTATACAAACCATTGATTAATGCTTTCAATTCATTATCAGTAGAAATAAATCCTGTTCTCAGATAAAGTGATTGCAAAACGTGTACATAGTTTGCGACAAATGCCGTGAAGTGTGGACTATTGTAGACGTTGTAATCAATGCCCACTTGATGTAGGTATGGGTGCAATGGACTCGGATTCAGTAATAATTGCAAATGTCCGTTCAAATGGAGGTAATGATTGGCTTTAGGATATGTTATATATCCGTATGATTTGGCGATTGTATTGCGTGTGTTCGGTGAGCGCCGGTGTATCGCAATTGCATTCAACTGTTTGGCAAACTTTGCTATGAATGCCTCAATCGTGTCGATATTAATGTCATTTACAAACCACACGTTAATAGCCTTTAAATGACAGCAATATTTGATTATCACTTCAAACATCCGGTTAGACTCGTAGTCCTCGCATACAATGTCCGTAATGTTTGGTAACTTTTGAAGCATTGACTCAATTTGAGAGTTAATATTCAGTTTATCGCATAATTTGCGGGTAATTGTGAGCCGGGTTTGTGTCTCATATACGCATCGTTGCCACTGTTTGGACAGACATTCATATCTGAATCGGTCCTCAAATGACAGATAACTCAATAAGTGTTGACACAAATCGTCACCAAATCTGTCCAAAGAGTCTTTCGCATAGATTTGAGACATTATTTCACAAAACTTTAAACATTTGTAATACAAATCAATTGAATAATTATTATGAATACAACTGACACTCAAAATACCATTTGATAACTGAATGAAACACTCATTTCAATCAACACTTGCATTCATTTTAGACAATAATCACAAAAACACGTGTTTTTCATAGACTGCGAGACAACACAATGTTTGCCGCATTTGTATCGCATATCCGACCGGCGATTATGCGCTCAACTGACCGACAATTACACCACAAATACCCCTCAAAAGGGTTTGCTATAATTCAATGACAGCTCAGTTGCCATCTATCGGTCCATTGATTCACATTTTTATTACAATTAATATAATGTAAAGTTTTATAGAAATTAATTTTGCACTTTGTTTGCATCAAACAATGTTTATTGTGATAATTGCCAGTAATTAAAGGGTTTAGAAAATACTTTTCAAAACATGTTTCATTAAAAGTGATACAAATATTATGAATAACACACTGTATGTGATGAACACAAACATCAATTAATTTAAAATTTAAAAATACCATTAAATAACTAAATCATTCATTAAATCATTTGTAGCTTTTATGGTAACTCTGATAAGTATTCCCGTTTATGATAACCATGCTAATTTTTGGGCACATAAGCAAACCCTGAACATCAGCGAAAGTATAGTCCCTTTTAAACGAATCCAGTTTAACGTACAGAATATTCTTGAGTTTCGACAACGATTTCAATGCAAATACGTTAACATTTCTAACGTTTTTCAGCCATAAGTACTGAACGTTTGGCAAATAGTTGTCGATATTCATGAAAAACGAGTCATTCATATAGAAATCGGTCGTCAAATGTGTTAATCGGTTGCAATCCGTCAGCAAATCACTGGTTAATAGAAAATCGTCCGAAAAGTTGCCATAAATTTCCAAACGTTTATTTGCCGGAAGTGTTGAACAATGCATTGCATTAATACTGAGCACTTGGTAGCCGATACCGACTGATCCCTAGCGTAACCAAAATCAATGGCCAGGCGTTTCAATTGTGGGGAGCGGTACGCGATTTGTATTAAACCACCGATATATACGCCAAACAAATCAGTTTCGGTGTTATACAGGTGCTCGAGGTGTAGTTCCCGTAATCCATTCATTTGTGATAAGCCTGGTAATAATAACACAGTATATTGACAATAATTGTAGCATATTTATATTAATACAGTACTGGTCATACATACCATTCATTACTACTTGCAATAAATGTGCACAATTCAGATGATATGCATTCAAATGAATGGATTTCACGATATTTTTATAATGATCGCAAAATACCGTAAACTCATGGCTTACAGTTGGCCTATACATGAAGCTATAGCTCACGACTACCTTGCGCAGTTTTGTGTACAACACCCTCGGCTCCGATAGTGAGCTCCACAAGAATAGTGAACTCCATTTGGTGGCATTCAAATTCATTATATGTTCGCATAGTTTCATGTTTTCCGCGATTGACTGCTCGAGTGAGTGATTCTCGTAATGAAAATCACCGAAAAAGTTGAAAACTTTCAATTGTGCGGCAAATGTGTGGAAAAACAGGTCTATGATATCGGCACCAATACCACTGTTCAGCCAAATGGTAATTGAGTTTAAATGACAGCAATATTTGGTAATCAATTCAAACATATGGTTAGTAATGAACTAAAATCTGCACTCAAAGCGCACAATGTTTGGCAACTTTTGAAGCATTGTTTCAAATGATGCGAAGTCAGTAGATATGCGATACATTTTGCTGCATAACTTGTCACTAATTATAAGCCGGGTCTGTGTCTCATATATGCATCGCTGCCACTGTTTGGACAGACATTCATATCGGAAGCGGTCCTCAAATGACAGATAACGCAATAGGACTTCACATAAATCGTCACCAAATCTGTCCAAAGAGTCTTTGCTATGGATTTGAGACATTTTCACAAAACTTTAATCACATGTACTATAAATCAATTGAATTGTTATTATGAACACAACTGACACTCAAAATACCATTTGATAACTGAATGAAACACTCATTTCAATCAATACTTGCATTCATTTGAGACAATAGTCACAAAAACACGTGTTTTTTGCGAACATCTCATAGACTGTGAGGCAACACAATGTTTGTCGCATTTGTATCGCATATCCGACCGGCGATTATGCGCTCAACTGACCGACAATTTAAACAAATGTTTTCATAATTAAATAATGAGTGAATATTAATATCACACATAAAATAATAAATTAATAAGTAATTCTCGTAAAACACTTTATTCATTTATTAAAATGTTAATATAAACTATTCAATAATTTAAAACACAAACATTTTTTAATCATAAACACAATACAAAGCAAATAATCTTAAATGTTACAGAAATACAGTAAACAAATATCTATAAAAATAATAATTAGTTTACAAACGGGTCATAATTAGAAAAATAGTTATAAGGAAAGTATATATAATTAATAGTATGTAAATGAAAATTATGTTAATTTTTGTAATATATTATTACATATAGGTTTGCCATCAAATAGATTCATTAAACCAATGACTTGTAATTTAGTGTTGTGTTCAATGAACTGAAACTATACCCAAAATATATAAAATTAATACGTTAAGTAAAACATAACTCTTATTAAACTTATGCCCCATTTATGCCGTAAACCAAACAATTATATTTGAAATCAATATGTTTTGCAAGTTATATGAATGGTCTGTATTTTGGGACACATTTTAATGAAATTGTTTTCAAAGTTTTTCAAATCTTTCAAATCAGGTCTCGTTTTGCTTAGTAAACCCACTTTCACGTAGAGTTTAACGCACAGAATATTCTTGAGTTGTGACACAGAATTCAATACAAACTCATTAATGGTATTGACTTTCTTACGCCATAAGTACTGAACGTTTGGCAAAAATTCCGTCATTTTAGCGAAAAACTGCTCATTAATAATGAAACCAATCGTCAAATGTGTTAATCGTTTGCAATCCTTAAACAAATCAGCGGTTAATACGAAATCGTTGCCAAAAATATTGCCACATATTTCAATTGAGTAAAGTGTTTACAAATACATTGCATAAAATTAATGCTCATATCCAGCATAAAAGTGTCCAACGAACGGGGTCTTTTGTAACAATGGACAGTCGTGTTAAATGTCGTGAATTAAGTCCGATTTGTGTTAATCCATTAACTAATGACGTAAATAAAATATTGGCTTGATCATTGCCGTATCTGAGGTATACAAATAGTTCCCGTATTTATATTGATACATAAACAAAAAATATCAGTTCAGATAAAATTTCTGTTTAAACAATAAATTTAATTTATATGTCCTCCTCAAGTTAACCAATTACTTTTATAACTAAAAATCTACGTGTATTTAACTAAAAATTGATTTAACATTACAGTTTGATAAATATTGGTACAGTATAATGATTATACTATAATATTAAATACGGATAACTATAAAAAAAAACATACTTTAATGTTATCATATATCCATAGATTTTGACTAAAATATAGTTATCGGTTAAAATTAAACAAGTACACAAAATAATTAAGTATATTTGAAAACATAACGTAAACCAAATGAGTGCCAAATATATGGACCAAAAAAGACTGTAATATTCATTAAATATAGCAGTTACCAAGCTACATATTTACATGTACATCCTGTTTGCCACCTTAATAAATAGCCATACAATGAACAATATAATCTATCAAAAGGTATATGAATTAATATAAAATTAATCAATTTTCATTATAAACAAACTTGATAACCGCGAAAACTATTGATCACAAATAGTTTCCAGCAATAAAATCCAACCCTTTTGGCACCATTTCTCTCCATTGTATTTATCAACTAAATTATATATAGAGAAAATATATTAAAACTACCAGTATAAGAAAATAATTGTTGTAATAATTATCAAGTTAATTGTTATACATTTATACAAATTATCTATATTGTAAAATACACAGGAGTAACATTAATTAAAAATATTAAAGTGCTTTGTAGCCAAGATGCTATTTTATTTATAACATGTATATTATATTTACAAATTGTTTGTAGATTACAGTTTATTAATTTTTATTGTAATTCTAAATTAATTATTAATATTATCTATAAACTTGTTAATTTTATTTATGTACAGTACCTGGTTCATATGAAGTAAGACAAATTAAAAATAACTAAAAGTAAGTATAATTGTAATGCTAAAATTTTAGAAAGACATTAAACTAATAAAAAAATTAAATATTAAACTGAGATGATTGACAAGATATCTAATTAAACTGTTATTACATTACTATTCCCATATGTTTTTCTAAATTAATAATTCAATGTTAGATTCATTGTGAAGTAAGCACTTGAATGCATAAGACTTACCAATATTCTTAACACTGTTTGTAAAAGTTAATAAACTAGATTTTTATTTAATCTATCTTGTTATTTTTGTGTTTAATCATAAATTACTTTGTCTTGCTATTTACAATTCACCACAAAACAAGTCGAGTTTATGTGGAAATATTTTTAAGTTTATTAAATATTATGTAATCTCAAATTAATTATAATGTTCTATATTATAAATATATATGCTTACTTATATATAATCTGAATAAAATTTCAAATTAAAATAAATTAAAAATTATTCAGTCCTTATGAATACAATTAGTTATCAATTTAAAAACAAGTATTATTATATTCAAAAAAATAATTTGTACCGGTCGTACAGTTTCATACGTATAATGGTAAATTTTAAATATACAGTATATTAAAGATTTAATTTAATTAATTTAATTATAATAATTTAAATTTTTGTATTTTTTACCTTAAACCAATAATTTATATTAAAAAACAACTACCTATATAAATTTTCAAAAAAATATTTATAAATTCCAGTTTATTTCATAGTTTGCAATACTAAATTAATTTTTAAATTAAACGTTTAACATACATGTGTTGTATTTATGCCGGTTTATATATAAAATTCTGT